TATCTCACAAATAATACCCAAAAGTTGTCCATAATATATAACGGAGGTAGTATTAAGGTTTACGATAGCACAACATGGTTGTATAGCTTGAGCTAGCAGACCCATGTGTTAGGCTTACTAATTAAATTAAGTTTATTACCCAAACATGTATTGCAACGTTCTCTACTTAGCATAAATTCGACATGCGATAAGCTTCACTTGTCTCTATTTTTGGGCTAGACCCAAAAGGTGATTAGAATTATAAGCTTAAAATATCACTACGTACATATCTTCAATATTACCCAAACATGTATTGCAATGCAGCAGCTAGAGTGTTACTTTTGTTCCATCTACTTGTCTGTCTATGGTCTATCTATCTATCTATCTACTTTTAGACTAGAGCTAATGTTACTCGTGTTTATCATTTCATGTAGATTACCTGTATTGAATCTTCAGCACTCTGACTAGTTAGTGACATAGATATGAATTACCCTTTAGAAACTTTATTTTAGACTAAAATTATGAAAAAATTCTTAAATTTATTAAGTCGAACACTTGAACACGAATATGTATGTGCCTGACTTACATGAATACCTGAGTTTGAATAACAAAAGTACTATGATAATTAGTATGATTTGAGCAGAGGGGTATTTTTTTTTTTTTTAAACCTAGCCAAATAACAAATTAATTAATTTAATTAATTGCTGCTAGAGTACCTTTCCTTTTAGTCTTTTATCACATTTTTTTTAATTAACGTACCTTAATTTTCTGATAGACAGAAAGTCTTTATTGCACTTCCCTCAATAGACATAGTACTTTGTATAAAAATTTGCATCCCCTTCCCCAATCTCTCTCCTCCACCTTTTTTTTTTTCCTCTCTCTCCCTTTTGTTTTCAAATCCATTGAATTTATATTTTCATTTGACTAATTAAGATAATTACGAATAGTATAAATAATAAATCTTTTTTCATCATAAGAGTAATAATTATATACATTCTCGGTACTCGTAGTGCGATTATACATTTCTTGTTGTTTAATTAAATTAGATGATTAAATGTTAAAATTTGAAAGCAACAAAAAAATTTGTAAAAAAAATATTAAATGTTTAAATTTGAAAGCAAAAAAATAAAAATAAAAATAAAATATATATATATATATATATATATATTTTGTGAAAGGGTGTAATTATACATTTTTGGTTGATTAATTAAATTAAATGATTATAAAGTCATATGAGTTTACTTATGTTGCCATAATATTTTGTTGTATTTCATAACCGTCAACTTAATATTAGTAATTTAATCGTAAAAACAAGATGTGCTGTATAATTTTTATAATCCTGTTCAACATGTATAATTTTAATTTACGACAAAAGAAAGATCGAATATTAGTTACACTTAATTAAGAGTATTATATTCCCATACAACTCGATTAATTAATTATAATGTTCATAAACCATTTCCCCTATTTTTAGCAATCTTTTTCATTCAAAATTATTCACTACTAACCAATAAACACCAATATGTATATAGTGACATATAGTAAGCTATATGTAGGGGTGGGACTTTTCAAACCGAACCGTGAAACCGTCCGTTATCGAACCGAACCATCACGGACCGAACCGTTTATAACCCGCTAATTTTAAACCGAAAACCGAACTGAACCGTATAATGTCAAACCGAAACCGAACCGAACCAATTAATGTTAACCCGTTACGAACCGTAAACCAATAACAAACCAAACCGTTTATAAACCGAAACCGTTTGAACCGATTAATGTTAACCCGCTAATTGTTTAAACCGAATCGTTTATAAACCGAAACCCTTTAAACCGTAGGAAAAAAACCGTTTAAATCGAACCATTTACAACCCGCTAACCGTTTAAACCGAACTGTTATAACCCATTAAACCATTTAAATCGAACTATTTTCAAACTGCAACCCGTTTAAACTGATCCGATTACAAACTATTTAAACCGGACCGTTTACAACCCGTTCCATTCAAATTGAACTATTTACAGCCTTTAACAATTTGTTAGAATTCCACAAAATATATTTGATGTTTAATGTAATTTAACAGTACAATTTTTTTTACATATAATTATTGATTTAAATTTGTAAATTTTTTTGCTATTATAAAATTAAAATTATATTCTTGTATAACTAAATTAGGAGTTATAAATTAAATAAAAAAATGAAAAAATTTGGCCACCCACCCAATCCAACCACCCTCCACCCAACCACCACCGTAACCCACCCCCGCCGTCACCCCAGAACCACCCTAACACTACCCCCCACCCACCACCGTTACCTTAACCCACCCCCACCCTACCACCGTTACCGTAACCCACCCCCACCCCACCAACGTCAACCCAGACCCACCCTAACACCACCCCCGCACCCACCATAATTACCGTAACCCACCCCACCCCACCCTAAAAAAACCCATACCCAAACCTTACCCCACCCCATCCACCACCGTCACCGTAAATAATAAAAACCCAGACCCATACCCCACCCCACCTACCACCATCACCGTAACGTACCCCACCCCACCCCCTTAACAAACCCCACCCCACCCCACCCACCACCGTCACTGTAAAAAAAAAAAAAACCAGACCCAACCCCAACACCCACCACCGTCACCGTAACACACCCCACCCCATACAAAAAAATCGAAAAAAAAAACCCAAACCCACCGTAACCCCACCCCACCCACCCCCACGAAACCCAAAATCCTCGAAACCCCCAAACTCACTCTAATTGCTCACCCACCATAAAACTCCCTCCCTCGAAAAATCCTCCCTCCCCACCCACCCGAACCCAGTCTAACCGCCGCCGCACCCATCCTAACTCGGCCCCCTCCGTTGCCCACAACTTGAAAAAAAATTAAAAAGAAAAACAGAAAATAAAAAAAGGAAGAACGAAAACACCTTATATATTAATCCTGAATTTGGCCTCGAATTTGGTTTTAAAAGGCCAAATTCGATCATGAAACAACTAGATCTAGAGTTTTGTGGTCGAATTTGACCATAAAAACCGTCGTGCGTGGTGCCGGTGGACGGAGACGGAGAAACGAGATGGAAGAAAGGAGAACATAGACGGAAGAAGGGAGAAGAAGGAAGAAGAAGAAAGGAAGAAGGAAGAGGAGATGAGAGAGAAAACGAGAGAGCAGTGAGCATATTAGCAGCCATGGCTTCAAAAAATTGATAATATTACAGAAGAGGATTAAGAAAACGAGAGAGAAATCAAAAAGAGTACTAAAGAGACGATGGTAAGAGTGATCTGATTGGTGGAAAAGAAAACACACGGATCGTGAATTGGAATGTGTGCGATGATAGGTCGTTAGATGACATGCAAATCAATGGCTGATATTTAATATAAGACGGTGACACGGATCATGGGATAATGGATTTGGATAGTATGTTTTTTTTTATTCATAGCTACGTACTAATAAAAACACTACTGTACTCCTAACTTTATGTAACTTATAAATTGTAAGAAACACAAATGTTTGGAAATTGGAATTGATTCAATATGACATATTTAATGTATATTAGTTATATGTATATCAGTATATGTAATAAATAATAATGTATGGTACGATTGGTATCATACTATCATTGGTATGTATAGATAATCGATAAATGTATCTGATTATTAAAACTTAAAACAGTTGATGATCGATCTAATTGAATACTTCTACTTCCCCACCCGTTTTCTTTAACTTGTAAGTTGCAACATATATATGTTGCAGCCTTGTAGGCACGTAATCTTAAAAGGTGATTAGAGAGGGTAAGACAACAAATTAATTCAACAATATAACTTTAACACCAAAATTATGGAATAGTTACAAACAATTGTCAATTATTACTTTATTAGACTAATGGGAAATTGAATAATCGTGATTTTAATTAAACATCCAAATATAGTTCCGTAACATTAAATTATTAGTTTATTACAATATCAATTATCGATTTATCGTATTCAAAGTACCAATTCATCAAATCATGGTTATGACGCGATCTTTAAAACAATTAAAACAAGAAGCTGATAGCCTGATAATATTTGATAATGAAACAATAATACATTAATACCTTATAAATTTGTAATAGACTAATATTTAATAAGCAATAACAAGACTATAACCAAATTTGAAACATAACACATTAACATGATATAGAATGAATGAGAATTTCTGTAATTCTATATAATCTGATATCTGAATCGATTTATCGTATTCAAAGTAGCAACTCATCAAAACATGGTCATGACACGATATCTAAAACAATCCAACAAGAAGCTGATAACCTAATAATATATATTTAATAATGAAACAATAATACATTAATACATTATAAATTTGTAATAGACTAATATGATAATATCGAATAAACAACAACAAGAGTATAACCAAACTTGAAACATAACATATTAGCATGATATAGAATAATTGAATAAATGAAGATTTGTGTAATGGTATATAATCCGATGTCTGAAAATAAAGTGACGAACTCCTAACTTTATATAAAACGAAAATAGCTAATCGGTCAAAAATCTCTTAAAACCCAATTTCTACTCGATCCATTATTTTTTTCACCAACCTATTCCGACCCGCTAATGAAATGGAAATACTAGTCCCAACTTGATATAAAACAAAACGCGCTAACTGGTCAAAACCACTTTTTAGAACTCGATTTCAACCCGATCCAATTTAACCGATTACCAAACTAACCCGAACGATTTTAGCACCAAACCGAGTATAAACCGAACCGATATGAATCGAACTAGCATTAACCCGGGTAAACCCCCCCTGAACCGACCCATTTCAAAATAATCCGTTCATGACCTGAACCGATATGAACCCGGACCGACGTTGACCCGGTAAAACCGCCCTGAACCGATCCGTTTCAAACCGGTCAGATCATGACCCGAACCGTTTATAAACCTAACGGGCATTGACCCGCGTAAACCCACCCCTGAACTGACCTGTTTCAAATTGACCCGATTATTAACCGAACTGTTTAAAAACCGAACCGGCATTGACCCGAGTAAATCCGCCCCTGAAGCGACCCGTTTCTAACCGATCTGATTATGACCCGAACTGTTTATAAACCGAACCGTTTATGACCCGAACCGAATTTAAATCGTACAAAAATAAACCGAAATCGAACCGACCTGTGACTAATCAAAACCGAACTGAACCGACTCGCCGTCTAAATGAAACCGTTTAAACCCGAACCGTTTAAAACCGAAACCGTTTCAAACTGAAACCATTTCAAACTGAGGTCAAACCGAACTGCCAGACCGAAGTCCCACCCCTAGCTATATGCTATCACAATAGGGCGAATTTCAGGCTACAACTACTTGTACAATTTTCAATTACACTTGACTTGGACGGGTGCTACAAACTTGTTTAATTAAACTTACAAATTGAGGAGAGAGAAAGAGAAGGAGATTATATAAATGCTAGAATTGCTTTGAAACAAACAATTTTCTCTTCATAATTTTGACCATTCCTCTTCTTCTCCTTTCCTCTATCTTCACCCTTTTTATATTTTCCTTAAAAATGGTTTCTTCTTCTTCTCTATTATTAACCCTTAAGTTTTCTTCATTTCATGCATGAAACTAAGCTAGTTTAAATCTATCTATCTAATCCCTTTTTCAAACACTCTCTTAACAAAGAAATTAAACTAACCCTACCTTATATTATCAAGTTTATTTTCTTTTGTTGTCTAAAATATATATAGTTAGATAATCTATAAAAATGGCTTCAATGAATTGGTTAGGTTTTTCTTTATCTCCTCAAGAAATTCCTTCTCAAACTCCTAATCAAGATCATCATAATCCCTTCACAAGCACCACCGGAGAGTGTTTTGATCTCGCTACCGACTCACCGCCCGGTCATCCTTCTCTTAATCATCTTCCTCCTCCCTTTGGCATCCTTGAGGCCTTCCATAGATCAACAAATAATCAATCACAAGGTAATTTTAATTTTATTTCTAAATCTAGTATTTTTTTTCAATTTTTTTTTGTTGGTCTCATATAACAAACCTACAAATTCATGCCCTAGATTAATTACAAAATGATTTTTAGCACTTTAGATGGTTTATAATGTTTATTATTCTCATATTGCAAAACCCTAATTCAAAAACAAAGAGGATTAAATGGTGTTTTAATTTATCCAACCTCATCTAGTATTTTTTTTTTTTTTTATTTTTTTTTTGTTTGTAATAATTTATTTATATTAAAAAAGGGAGAAATTAAAAATGGGAAGTTTGTGATGTTTTTGCAGATTGGAATATGAAGGGAAACTCAGAGATAAGTATGTTAATGGGAAACCAAGAAGTTGAAGAAGAGCCAAAACTAGAGAACTTTCTAGGAAGCAGCCATTCTTTTAGAGAAAATAATCATCAACAACAACAAAGTAATGGAGATCACTACATGTTTAACACAACAACTACCCCACAAGAAAATAATAATATGGCAAACCCTAAAGACACTACTAGTAACAACAATAACAATGGACTCAATGTTTCCATGATCAAGACATGGTTGAGATCAAACCACCCTTCTCAATCAAATCTAGTCGACGGAAGTGGTGGCGGTGGTGGTGGTGGTGGGGCCGGGTTAACGAATGCGCAAACATTGTCCCTTTCGATGGGCACCGGTGGGTCACACTCCGCCTTGCCACTACTAGCGACAGGCGGAGGTGGTGGTAGTGGTGGTGAAATAATGGAAAGTAAATTGTCCGATAATAGTAGTTGTAAACAACAACAACAAAGTGATGCTACGACGGGTGTATGCAATAATACGACTAGTAGTACTACTACTACTAATGTCGAGGTTCAAAGTGGTGCACTTGTTGAATCTGTTCCTAGGAAATCTATTGATACTTTTGGACAACGTACGTCTATTTACCGTGGTGTAACAAGGTACATTATTCTTCTTTCTTTTAGTTTTATCGAAAAATAAAAACAAAATATCTATTATCTTTCTTCATATAATAATATACTTGTATTTAATTATTATATGTTTTTTTTTAAAAATTTCTTAAACTTTGCACCTTGGGTATCCAATGTACTCGATAATCGATCTTAAATTATTTGTTTTTGTACTTAATTTCTTGGTTAATCGATGATTGAGTTAATTTTTTTTTTCTCCCTAGGCCTTTGTTTTCTTGTTTTATTTTATAGAATTATAATAGTCCAATTAATTTTATGAATTTGAAATATTGATATACTTATATCTTATTGTAATTTATAATATATGGTTTTTCAGACATAGATGGACAGGAAGATATGAAGCTCATCTTTGGGATAATAGTTGTAGAAGAGAAGGGCAAACTCGTAAAGGAAGGCAAGGTAATTATTTTAAAGATTATTGATATTAATCTTAATTATTTTCTCTTCATAAAAATGATTTTTTTTTTCTGATTAATCAGAAAATTAAATTTGTGTATAATTAAAGAAACTAATTATATGTTTCCTTTTTGGGTGTACAACAATCGCGTGTTTGATGGTGGGCAATCTTGCGGAATGTTGCAGTTTATTTGGGTAAGTAATATATAGTGGAGAACAAAAAGTTCCTTTTTGAGCCCTTTGAATTGTTAATTATAGTACTTAGATACTCTTACAAAATTTTTATTTTTAATAAGAATAGAATCTAATAGATCTTATCTTATGTATAATTTATATACTATGGTATATAATTTAATTTGTTTTCTGATTTTATTCTCTCATTTTGTGTATATATAATTTTTAGGGGGTTATGACAAAGAAGAAAAAGCGGCTAGAGCTTATGATTTGGCTGCATTAAAATACTGGGGTACCACTACCACCACCAACTTTCCTGTAAGTTCTTTCATTTTACATTATTATTATGATTCTTGATTAAATTCAATTATTTCATCTTACGCAAATCGCCGAGTTTATAACTTTGATATGCTTATTTAGGAATAATAGGGTTTAGATGGATACATTTTAAATGTAGATAGAGTATGGAGCAGTTTTGGGTTGTTCGGGTTGAGAGATTTTATAAATCTATCGTACTTGTATATCAAAATTATAAACTTAGACGTACCCGTACATGCATTTAAGCTTAATAATACTCCTTGATTATTTCAACTTTAGTGTTCTGTAAAACTTAAATGCATGGTTGTATATGTAATTAACCTACATAATAGTACTCCACTTCAAATATGGTGTCGTTTGAGGCTAAAATATACATGCTAGAAACTTTGGTAGTTGTTACATTAATTATAATATTCTAACGTGATTAGTAATATTGCATGAGAAATCTAGAAACACAAGTAGTAATTATGAAGTTAAATTAATTGAAGTATGTAAATGAAAGTGGAAAGAGGGGAGTTATTATTTGCTTTATTATTATGTTTTCTGATAAAGTTCAAATTCCACAATATATATCATATCCCGGTTTTTCTTAATTAATAATCTTTCATGAGACAATATTTATGCAAAAGCTTTACTCAAAGTGCAAGCATTTTCACTAATTAAGTGCACCATAATTAAGGATTTTATGTCTCTATTATCTTAAACAATTAATTATTTGATTAGGAAACATGCTCCGGTGCTAATGGTGAAAGTTTTGCACTATAAACTCATTGTTAGTGGAAGCATGACTCAGGAATTTTTGCATTGCATGTCCATCTTTTGTATTAATAACATCATTAACATTATTATATATTTAAATCACTAGTCTATTTTTTTTAATAATCATTTTTTCTTCAATATTTCAGATTACTGATTATGAGAAGGAAATTGAGGATATGAAGCATATGACGCGCCAAGAATATGTTGCATCCCTACGAAGGTAATGTGTTTGATCTATACGTAGTACATTTTAATCAAATTTTGTTAGAGGGGATCCGAAGATTGAATTAGGTTTAATTTGCATGGTTAATGGTCATTAAGCATTACTCAATTCTCTTAATACAGGAAAAGCAGTGGATTCTCTCGTGGTGCATCAATTTATCGAGGAGTAACAAGGTATTTAATTTTGACTTTGTTATATACAAAGTATTTCTTCTTCACATAGCTTTAATTTGTTGATTTAACCTAAAAGTATAAGCTCCTAACGAAATAAATAAGTTTAAATAAGCTCAAATAAGTCTAGTTAAGGACTTAGAGTTTTCATATATTACTAATTCAAATAAATTCTGATACGATCTTTTAAGCGTACAACTTAAATAAAGAGAATTGTTATAAAAATAACAAAGTCATAATGCAGGAAGTTAGGTTACCAGCATTAGAGAAAACTAATCTTCCTCAAATAATTTAAAGGAGCTTGATAGTTCAACTCCCTTTGTAATTACTATATAATATAAAACCTAAATGACAGTAGATATTTCAGAAAGTCACCTTATTAATTAGTAATTATACTCTCTTTTGGAAGTTCATGACATAAACAGGTCTGACTTGTTTTAAGCAGGAGTAGTGTACAAGGTAAAGGCTAATAAATAGACACCAAATTATTGTTTTTATGATAAGATACAAAAGCTAATGACACCAAAACACTTTAAATGTTCACTATTAAATTATATTATGTCAATAAATTGATTCCTTCATTAATTTTGCATTGTATTATTAATTAATCCATTTTTGGAATTGCAATTACTTAGAAACAGCACTTAAGGTAGTGTTAATATTCCAGAATTAGTAAGGAATTTCTTTTGAATGCATATATATTTTTTTTTAGTTCTGTCTAATTAACTATAATAAAAATAATCAAAGCAAATCAAATCAAATCAGAAGCTTCTTCATCTTTAAGTTATATAAATAGATTGAATTATAATTTTCGAATTTTGACCACATTCTGCAAAATGCAATCTTAAGTTGGATGTATGCATATGAGAATGTCATACTACCCCTATATCCAAATCTTAATTAATATATTCCACAAAATTAAAAAATAAATTATTTAATTGAATGACCAAATCTTCAAGTCTCATTATTTATTTTAAAAAACTTTATAATATAATGATTTTGATTGTATTCTACTCTTACTACAATACGTGTGGATAGGACATAATTTATTCACTTAGTTCACATGTATTCTTTTAAGTACTTTGTAATATAAAATTTATAATATAATTTAGAATAATATGAAAATCTTATTTGACTGGAATAAAAGACCAAGTTATGTGAACTCTGCCTGCAACTGTTGCAGGAATTTTGTAGCCTAATGTGCCTACTTTTACCACCAAACATGCACATAATTAATTAATTATGTAAATTCTAATAGTAAAACCCTAAGAAGTACAAAGTTATTAAATGTTAATTATAACATTAGTTATTAATTATGCTAAGTTTATGCATGTCTTGACTAATTGTTATTGTTTATTTTGGTTAGGCATCATCAGCATGGTCGTTGGCAGGCTAGGATAGGCAGGGTTGCTGGTAACAAAGACCTCTACCTGGGCACTTTCAGTAAGTAACAATTATCTTTATATTGTTTTAGTTGGTATCGCGTAAGGGATAAAACTACATACATCCGATAAGGTTTGAAAGGGCATTGTTGTACCTTGTGCTGTTGTGCATTAGTATAGATCGTTGGATGGTAATGAACGGGCTTAACTCGGAACCTTATTGTACAGTGCTCCAAAACCAGTCAAGGCCAAGACTCTTAACACATAGGCTTATATGTCATGATATGCAACATTAACCATACTGTATGTAAAACAATGAAATATTCATTACTGTATTATCAAACAATAATTGTGCTCATCATTACAGAACTGTACTGTAAGTCTGCATATACTAAAAAAAGCCCTGTATCAAACTAGCCTTTTTGTATATTCTCTGCATAAAAATACTTTTCCGACTTTAAACGTTGTTTCTACTTTGACGGGAATTATTGTCTCATAAAAATGTAACATATTTTGCAACATTATACTAAGGTCTTTCTACTGTTACAGGCACACAGGAGGAAGCAGCAGAAGCATATGACATAGCAGCAATAAAATTCAGGGGACTAAATGCAGTAACAAACTTTGAGATAAACAGATATGATGTGAAAGCCATACTAGACAGCACCACACTTCCCATTGGAGGAGCTGCAAAGAGGCTAAAAGATGTTGAGGAATTAACAGCTGCACCAGATAAACAGATCATTAGAGCAATTGCTGCTGTTGATGATCATGAAACTTCTCAGCTCACTAATGCTGCTTATGGTAATGGGACTCCTAACTTCCATTCGTGGCCCGGGATCGCGTTCCCCACAGCTCAAGCTCAACCATTGGCAATGCACTACCCTTATGCTGCATCCCAGCAGCAGCAGCAGCAGAGGCTGTGGTGTAAGCAAGAAGTACAGGACACTACTCATGACTACCAAGATCATCTTAATCAGCAGCTTCAGTTGAATAATGGGACTCATAATTTCTTCCAGATGCATAATTTGATGGGGTTGGAGAATCCTTCCTCTACTTTAGAGCATACCTCAGCAGGGTCGAATCCCGGTGTTTACGGGAATGGGAGTGGGAATGAAAGTGTTGGTGGTGGTGGCTATGGATTGCCATTTGGGATGTCTACAGTTATAGCTCATGAAGGAAATGAGAATGGAAATGAGAAAAGTGGGTATGAGAATTACTACTATTACTCACACCAAGGAAATAATGCTAGCAATGCTACTGGTGTAAGAGGAGCTGTTGGGACTTATGATCAAGGGACATCTTGTAACAACTGGGTCCCAACCGCGATTCCAGCACTCGTTCCGAGGCCTAATAACATGGCTGCTGTTGGTGGTCATGGTGGAGGTGCAATCCCTACATTCACTGTGTGGAATGACACATAAAATCAAAAGGAAAGAAAGGGTGAGGAGTAATAATAAGATGGAAGGGAAGATTTAAGAAGGTTTGGGGTGTACACAACTCATTTCCTAGGTTTGAATATTTTTACTAGTATTTATTTCTCATTCCTCCCATTTTGTTATAGCTACTCCATTTAACAGAATTAACTAATTAGGAGGATCAAGTTAGATTTTTTTTTTTCTTTATTTCAGATTTATATTATAAGGAAATTGCACAGGGATCTAGCCTGGAGTTCAGTAATAGCAAAGGTTTTGAGTTGTTAGCTCACTTTTGCTATGATTTTGGGAACTTTGGGTGAATTAGATCCTCGGAAAGGTTTTTTTTTTTTTTTTTTTTCTCACTCCTTTGACTACACCATGCTTTGTAATTTTGAAATAACTAACATTATGATACAAAGAATGGGGCTCTCATTTCTGTATACTTTCTGTTTTCAGCAATGTTTTAAATCCAGTCAATAGCAACATTTTAACTTTTCATTGTGTACGAATAAAATTGGGTTGGAGGTACTAATGTGCAGTAGTTCAGAGATTTTAGCAAACAGAAATAACAGCTGGAATTGAATCTTCCCTGTTATTCTGACAGTCTGAAAGAAAGGTGTAGGGAGATTAAAATACTAGTTTCCTTAATCATGCTATGGATCCTGGAGGGAAGACACATCGTTCATAATTAATTTAGAAATCTGAACTAATTCTTAAATAAGCTTCTATTAAAACACTAACTTCAGGGGTTAGGCAGCATGGCACGTACAGTTATTGTGCCGTACTGTTGTGCTTATTAGCCATCCCAGGTTCAGGTTCAGGCGGCCACATGCCTACTTTTGTAATAAGGGTGAGTGTGTGAGTGTTACCATAGCTCATAGCTAAATGTTGAGTTCAATTTGGCTCGCCATTGAACATGGCTCATTCCTGTCCACTTTAGGTGTGACAGTAGAATGAATTTGCTAAGTTTCCTAGCTCTTGCAAGAACAACTTTCAATAAGCTTCCAATTAAACCTTTTCAAATGTAGATTAGGGTTGATCATACCAAGCTTAATGCGTAAATAATTTATATGTAATCCTCATAATACACTAGATGAGAAAAGACATAAAGTTGTACATAAATCTTATGAGTATAAAACAATAAATTAAAGCCAAGAGTATGAAGTGGTATAATCAAAGATACCCTGTGCATAGACTAGTAATGAAAGTAAACTTGCTATCATTTCCTTTTTAAACTTAGATGAAAGCTTTTGAATGATAAGAAGTAGAGATGTATGTGCCACTTCGGTACATGGGCCATCTTGGGCCGAGACAAAACTAGCCCATCACAAGCCCGACATGGCATGAAGGGGCAATTTGCACATCAGACTACTTTTTGTAGCCAATAAACAAAAATCTAAAAACTATTCAAGGGGACCATCACTCCGCCAGTATGGCATGACATGTGAGTCAGGTCTTGCATACTGCATAGGCCTTGTCGGAAGATTGGCACAACACAAAATGTACTTGGCCCGTTCAAGCACATCACAACCCTGATGGCCCGTCACTTGGGTTTGCACGACCCGCCCCGACCCCAGCACTAATAAGAATTTAAGGACGTTAAGGTAGGAAAGATTGACCCGGGTCAGATTCCACAAGTCCAAATCTTAAGCATTCTCCAACTGATCCGGGTCCACGCGCCCACCCGCTCAACTACTTATTACGAGAAGCCCCTAAGGTATCATTAGAGTAGGACCCACCGTATAATCTCACATTCTCACCTGCAACATGATATAGCAGGATATATTAGTTTAATATGTGTATTTGTAGTATTAAAACTAAGATCTATTGTTTCAATTGTCCTAATCACATAACTACTCTACTAAATTAAATCATACAACAGCTAAATAACACATGAAACTCATTATTAACTTTTAAAAAATGGAATTTTAGAAAGATCTTGTTGAATTCTGAAAGTGCGTTGAATTTTCAGGAATATAAGCATAAATTTTACAGCAAAAGTTCTCAGAAAATCCAAGAATACAGCAGATACAGAATGTTTTTCCTTTCTTCAATCAGAACCGAGTTCTGACTTTCATACTTCAAGAAATTCTCCTAATTAAATTCCAGGTAAAAGTTGCTTCTTTTAATTTCTTGCAACTTTAAAAATTTTGAGCTGCCATGGAAAATAATAAGAACATGATCATATTGTTATTCTTCTGTGTTATAACTGTTATATTCAGTACTGTTTCTGCTTTGAGCTCTGATGGGCAAGCTTTGGTATCGCTTTTAAACGAATGGGCGGTTCCGAAATCTGTTAAACATAGCTGGAATACTTCCCAACTTACACCTTGTTCATGGATAGGTGTTGAATGTGATAAAAAGCAGAATGTTATTACTCTCAACCTGTCCAATTATGGCATTTCGGGTCGTTTAGGACCTGAAATTGGTCAATTAGATCATTTACAGACACTTGATCTTAGTTTCAACACAATTTCTAGTTCCATCCCTGTTGAAATCTCCAACTGCAGCCTTCTTCAGCTGATGGACCTATCAGTGAACAATTTCACAGGTGAAATCCCAGAAAATTTGGGGAACTTGCAGAATCTGCAGGCCCTCAACTTTTATGAGAATTCATTAGTGGGTCAGATTCCTGAGTCCTTGTTTCAGATCCCAAATCTTCAATATGTTTTCCTCAGTAGTAACCGGCTTAGTGGGTCTATCCCTTCTAATGTAGGAAATGCAACTGAACTTTTGAGTTTTTGGGTTAATGATAATCAGTTGACTGGTACTATACCGCCTTCAATTGGACAGTGTTCAGCACTCCAAGAAGTTTATCTTACTGACAACCTCCTGACTGGTAAGTTGCCATCGAGGCTGATTAATCTCAAAAATTTGGTTGATTTAGATGTAAGTTCAAACAACTTGAAAGGTACCATTCCTTCTTTGGGTTCTGGTAGCTGCAAGAATCTGCAGAGTTTAATCTTGTCAGTAAACCAGTTTACTGGGGTCATTCCACATGGCCTGAGCAACTGTAGTAGCATGGTAACCTTTGCCGCCATGACAAACAAACTGACAGGGACAATTCCATCTTCTCTAGGGCTGCTCACTGAACTGTCGATACTCTATCTAGCTGAAAACGCATTGTCCGGGAATATACCCTCAGAGCTTGGTAATTGCAAGTCTTTGACAGAGTTACTTCTAAATGATAATAACCTTGAGGGTGAAATTCCAAGTGAACTTGGGATGTTAACTAGTTTAAGCCGCCTTCAGTTGCATAATAATCACCTGACGGGTGAGTTTCCACTTGGTATATGGAGGATACGGAGTCTTGAGTTGATTCTTATATACAATAACAGCTTACAGGGGGAGCTGCCTGCTGAGATTACCGAGCTTAATAGCCTCAAGAATCTTTCGATATTTGACAATCAGTTCTCTGGGATCATACCTCCGGGCTTGGGGATGAATTCTAGCTTGGTAATGATTGATGTCACAAACAATAAGTTTACTGGGGAAATTCCGCCCCACCTTTGTTTCAGTAAACGATTGCAGGTGCTAGACATGGGCAACAATATGCTCAGTGGAAGCATACCTCCTGATGTTGGAAGTTGCTCTAGTTTGACGAGGTTAAGGCTTGAACGAAACAACCTCACTGGGATGCTTCCAGAGTTTGAAGAAGATCATACCCTTTCTTTCATCGACTTGAGTGGAAATAAGATTCATGGAAGAGTGCCCCTAAGCCTTGCTAACTGTCACAGTCTCACCTGGATCAATTTCACCATGAACAACCTTTCTGGATCTCTACCATCAGAGCTCGCAAACTTGACTGAAATTCGTTCTGTTTATATATCTCGCAATAATTTGGAGGGCCCTTTGCCACCAGAACTAGGCAACTGGGGTAAGTTACTTAAGTTGGACTTGTCTTTCAATTCTTTGAATGGATCAATTCCATCAAATCTTAGAAGTTTGACAGCCTTGTCTTACTTAGATCTGAGTGAGAATCGTCTCACTGGCGGAGTTCCTCCTTTTTTGTCTGAACTTCAAATGCTCCAAGAGCTTCATCTTGGCGGAAATTTACTGGAAGGATCGATTCCTTCCTCAATAACTGCATCAGAGAATTTGATCCTATCTTCCTTGAATCTTAGTAACAACCATTTAACAGCTCACTTACCGACTGACCTTCAGAGATTGGCCAATTTACAGCAGATAGATTTGTCTCACAATCATCTGACAGGGTCGTTGGAAGCTCTTACTCATATGCCTAGTTTAGCTACTGTGAACATATCTTATAATCTCTTCTCCGGTCCAATCCCCCCATCTTTGTTGAAGCTGTTCAGCAAGTCGCCATCATCCTTTCTAGGGAATCCTGAGCTTTGCATCGACTGCAGTCACTCCAGTGGTTCTAATTGTGAAGCAAGCGGGAATATCAAAATATGTAATGCAATGCAGAATAATCACAAGAAAAGACTCCGCGGTGTTCAGATAGCAATGATAGTTCTTGGCTCATCAATCTTCACAATTCTCGCAGCAGTTTCTCTGTTTTATGTACTTGCCAAGTGGCAGAAACAGCAGAAAAAAGATATTGAAGCTTCAGGCAAGGGGAATTCTTCTCACTCATTCGGAAAAATAATGGAATGTACAGGAAATCTTGATGACTCGTACATCATAGGGAGAGGAGGCCATGGAATTGTCTACAAGGCAGTGTTAGGCTCAGACGAAGTTTATGCTGTCAAGAAGCTAGAACTTGGTGGAGAAAGGGTAATGAGTATGAGCATGATGAGAGAAATTGAGACATTGGGGCAAATCAAGCATAGGAATTTAGTGAAACTGAAGAATTTTTGGGTAACAAAGAATTATGGCCTAATTCTTTACGAATTCATGGAAAATGGTAGCCTTGGTGATGTTCTTCACAGGAAGAGTCCACAGTCAATAATAAGGTGGGATGTTCGGTACAAGATAGCTCTTGGAACAGCCCATGGATTAGCTTACCTCCACTTTGACTGTGATCCTCCTATTCTACACCGTGACATTAAGCCTGAGAATATACTCCTCGACTCAGATATGGAGCCACACATCTCTGACTTTGGTATAGCTAAGCTTCTACATCAAACTTCCATTTCAACACAATCATTTGCAGTTCCTGGGACAATTGGCTACATTGCTCCAGGTAATAATTTCTGATGATCAATTATAATACTCTGCACTTGTTTTTGTCAAGAAAATTCCCCCTTTAATGTTCAGTATTTATGTATTAACTTTTGTCACCCAATTTTTACGGTACAGAGAATGCCTATGCAACAACATGGAGCAAGGAGTCGGATGTATACAGCTACGGAGTGGTTTTGCTTGAAATGTTAACCAGAAAGAAAGCTGTGGATGCAACCTTCCCAGAGGGAATGGATTTAGTTGGATGGACAAGAACGGTGTGGCGCAGCTCTGAACAGATTGATAAGGTAATCGATGCCAGCCTATTAGAAGAGTTTCTAGATTCGAAAGTCATGGAGCAAGTTTATGATGTTTTCTTCATAGCTCTAAGATGCACTGAAACGGAGCCAAGAAAAAGGCCAACCATGAGAGATGTTGTGAAGCAGTTAGAAGATGCAAATCCTGCTGTAAGAATGAAAAAAGAATCCTAGCAGTTCTTTGCTAAGCTATCACATATTCATCTCTTTCCAACCCTGTAATTTTCTAGCATCTCTGAATTGTATATAAATACATAGTGTCTATAACATACATGTCAAATGTATATTACTTGACAAACATTGACATGGTTGACAAGAAACCATTCAAACTGTTTTCTAGATTTTAGTCAAGTATATACACAGGAAAGTGTTGTAACTAGAAAGGTATTGGGTTTGATGAAGTAACACAAGAGACAAAAATAAAGTTTTTTGAATGTGGAAATTTCCTCAAAAGAAAAGACTATATAAAAACCACCCTTATAAGAGATCTACATTTCTATACTGAATCAAAATGTGTGTTTACAAGAGACTTCACATCTGCAAGACTCCGGTGCTGAAACCCGTGCATCAGTCAGGCAACCGAAGCAATAAAGATCAGGTATTGCAACAGATGACTTCCTTCCTGCCTAAGTGCCTAGGCACTACAGCACTGCCTGCTCAGGCAAATCATCAAGATTTCAAAATCCAACCAGCAACTCGGTAGTCTGTTTCAATAACTTCCCAAGTTTTCCGCCCTTGTGTAAGTTGTGCTTCAGCACGTAACCAAAAGTCACCAAGTTGCACTCAATCAACTTCCAACTTTAGTGTTCCCATTTTCTATTTATATCTAGTAACTAGGTTAAACCCCGTACGATGCACGGATGTTGATAATTATAATAAAAGTATACGAGTAATAATTATATATATAAATATTGAATCGATTGATCATGTATTAAAACGCATGAAATAAATTAAACAGTAAAAACATATGAGAGAAAACATTTAAATATGTAATAATTATAACGTGCAAGTTGATATTTTAGAAAGTTTACTTTAGATTTTATAAAATCAAAGTCATAATCTAAATACAATCTTATTTTAATATAATATCTCTTTTTGTAGAAAGTAATTTTGGTGGAAAATTTTTTAATAGTATATTGTCAAGTGTGTCTTTAGATTTGCTTTTAGTAGTATGTAATTGATCATTGACATACGGCTTTGCTTTTTTAGCATAAACTTTATATGTTTCCATGACATGATCAGAATAACTAGAGATATGTTTTGAAATGGAAGTTTAAGTACTGTACAAAAAAGATCAATCTTTATCTATTAGAGAAAATACAAGTTTATCTTCATGATAAACAAAAAAGTGTTATTTAGTGACATTTCTGTAAATAAATCAACAACTTTTATTAAATATGAGTCTCACAAATGTTGATTTATTTACGAAAATGTCATGTTAATTGGGATATTTTGTTGATTTATTGTAATACCCCTAATATTTTAGTACTCTATCTATATATGTTATAAAGAAAAGTTTGGTACAAATCTATTTTTGCATAACTTATAAAGTAATTTATTATTCATCTAACTTTAAATTAAGTTTCGAGACGAAACTTGTTTTAAAGAGGGTAGATTGTAATACCCGAATATTTTATGATTTTATAGGTATATTATTTTTATTGATAAATTAAGTTATTTTAATTATTAAGTAACCTTCTTTATCTACATAGTTTATTTTTGAAAAGTTTTAAACCCTAATTTATATCTAGTAGGACTCTTGTTTACCAAACTATAAATACTTGTTAACCTACCTTAATTATTAATCTTTCTTATGTATAATAGCCGTGATTTCCATCCTTTATTCCCAGCAAGCAAAGAAAATCTTGTCTTTTAGCCAATATTAATTTACCATCACTGATACACCATCGCATCATCACCAAACCCAATTTCCTAATGTAATTCTTTAATGATCAATCTCATTTATATATATTATCATTACTTTAGAAACCCATTATGGTTTCTCATGTTTTGCGTGGATCGGAGATGGAGTTGCTCTGGTTTTGCGTAGAGTTATAATATTTGGGTGTTCATTCTTGAAAGGTAATCACACTTGTCGTTTTTGAGTCGTATGTTTTTATATTTTTGACTAGTAATCACACTATATCAATCTTTTTGAGTCGTTTGATATTAATTTGGTTGTATTGTTTGTTATGTGTATCACACAATTTTAATTTATTTAGAGTTATTTGATTTTATAATTTATTTTGCATAATCACGGCATCTTTTGTTGTTTACTTATACTACAGTCATGTTTGTAATTTAATTATTTGAAATAAAATAATAATAATAATAATAATATGATAATAAAGTGTAATTTATGTATTTGATGATTTGTGACTTCGTGGAGTTGAATTAATATTAATTGATACATATGATTCCCATGTGCAATTTAGTTTATATGTCTTTATTTTATGTAAACTTTTGTTGTTAGGCAATCAATTATATGACATTGTGTTTGAATATGGAGTATCATATTTGAGGTTTTAGATTAGAGTTGCTAATGTTATTTTTGGGTTGACATTTAATAAGTTTTGGTTACTAGTATTAGCCCTATAAGAGTTGAGATATTTCACGAATCAAATATGTCGTGATATATGAATTGGGAACTTGTGCCAATATTGAGATATTATCTATTATCATGTGAAAGATTATTTGAGTAAAGTATGAGATCAAAAGGTTGAGAATTATTATTTTGTTCTTGGTTTGAGGCTCGGCGTTATAGACCTTAGTCCTTGGCATGTTGGTGAGGAGATAATGATCATCAGTTAAGAATGAGGTACAATCTTTATTTATATTTTTCTATGGTCCCCTACAGTGGGATTTGACCCATATTGGTCATGGTTTAAGGTATTTTCTGGCTATTGAGAGTATTCAAGTTTTTATACTTGTTGGTTTGTTATTTGAATTACCCATGTCCAAGATTAGGTATAGAACAAAGAGCATGATACACTTATGGGATAGATGAGTTAATTGAGTAAAGGTTTGTATTATTATTCGAGGTTGAGTTTGACAAAAGTTATTTTCAGAATACGGAGTTATTTTACCTTGAGGTATATATGTGTGATGTAGTTTTGAACTACATTGTTTAAGTGAGTTACTTATAATATTTTATTATTTTGTCATATACTTTGATAAGTGGTGATTACTCAGTTTTTTTTGCTGCCGTGTGTTTTATTTTGTTGTGCTATTTGTGTTTGCGGCCATGTCTTTCGTATGGTGGCCCTGCGACGATCTATTTTGGAATTTGTCCTTAATGATGAGTAGTCGAAATTATTTAAACAGGTTGATCAAGTGATCGTAGCCAAAGGAGTTCAATTGTTTCGATTAGTCTGATATAACGAGTTTGTAAAGTTGTTATAAAATATAAATAGCTCACTTAGTTTTATTAGTTGTAATTATTGGGATTTTGTAAGCCTTAGCACTTGACAAGTTGTCAATTGTGGAAGTAATACCTCCGATTTAGGGGTATGTTTCCGCAATTTTATTTAAAGGTTATTTATTTTCCTTTAATTCTTATTTATTATTAGTTAGTAAATAAGGGGTGTTACATTTATTTACAGAAATGTCACTAGATAAATATTTATATTGAAGATTAACTGGTCTCCCTCTGTTTACTATTGTGCTCACTCACAGGCCACCCAACGTGCCACAAAATGCCCCCCCCCCCCCCCCCCCCCCCCCCCCCCTCCCAACACACACACACACATCACACACACTTGGACCGAGACCACATGCATGCTTGCACTGCCAAAGTGCCATCTCAATTTTACCTATAAACAGGATTTTTCTTCTTAGTTTCTCCTTTACTTCCCACTCCCCAAACATCTCTGCACCAAGCGTCATTAACACCAATCTATCATCTAAGATTCTTATGTCATCAATATTTCGATATAAATAGAGCATGTACTTGTCCTTGAAAGAGTCAAATGAAACGCCAGTCTTTCTCACTAAGCAGCATATTGAATAATCAAGCATACCACTAGTCCACTAGAAATATTCAATATACGATTATGCGTTGACAGTTTTGGTTTTTTTGGAAAAATGTTCCGCCCTTTCTCACTAAGCAGCACATTGAATAATCAAGCATGCCACTAGTCCACTAGAAATATGACGCTTCGACGAAAAACCTATTTTAAGGCAAAGTAATACCTCCAAGATACATGACAATCTTCCACAACACTTCCAATCAGAGCTCGTCGAATGCACAGCAAAAATCAATTATAATCAGCTTAAGGCATACAAACGTTCCATACACCCTGCTCATGATGATAAACTAGATTAGATAACTCCGAAATACCAGTATGCAAAATCTTACAGAACATTACAGTAAGTCAACAAAATTAGCTATTGCAGCTTGCAGATCATAGGACAAGAGGAGTAACTGAACAAGAGAGGCCTGAACCAGATTACCCAAGTCCATATTTTTACTATTTATTTAATTTGTTGACGTGACAACTCCACATCACCAACACGCTTCAAACGACTGTAATCTTGCAAAAGTTAATTCAATTTGATATGTATTTGTTGATTTTTATATTACTATATTGAAGATGTCGTATAACTTTTCATTAACAAATTATTTTAAGTTCAAAATAAAAGCCCATGGTTTCACTTGAGTGAGACCCATATGCAACTTGATATACTAATATGCAGTACTACTTTGAACAGGGAAGATTAGATGTCCTAATCTCATCCCACTTCATCCACTAACTAAACTAAATGTTTTAGATATAGTGTAAACAACTAAAAAAGCACACCTGAAACTCATTGACCCATTAAAAAAAAACAAAAAAAATAGAAAGGAATAAAAAAAAACTTTGAATTTGCAAAAAAGTCTTTTTTTGAATTATATAACTCTGTTGAATTTCTGGAATATAAGCATTCATTGAGCAGCAAAGTTCCCAATAACAAGAAGACAGCAAACACAGAATGTCATAGCCTTTAATCTAATTCCAGGTTAGATTCTCATTCTTTCTCTTGAAGATTCTTAAATTTTGAGTTTTCATGGCAAAAAACAGGAGCTTGATCATCTTGTTATTCTTCTGTATTATCACTGTATTATTCAGTACTTTATCTGCTTTGAGCTCTGATGGGCAAGCTTTAGTATCGCTTTTAAGCGAATGGGTGGTTCCGAAATCTGTTAAAAGTAGCTGGAATTCTTCCCAACTTACCCCTTGTTCTTGGTTAGGTGTTGTATGTGATAAAAACCAGAATGTAGTTACTCTCAACTTAACCAATTATGGCATTTCTGGTCCTTTGGGGCCTGAAATAGGCAGATTAAGTCATTTAAAGACACTTGATCTAAGTTCTAACACGATTTCTAGTTTTATACCTGTTGAGATTACCAACTGTAGCCTTCTTTGGGAGATGGACCTATCACTCTATCAGTAAACAATCTCACTGGTGAAATCCCAGAAAATTTGGGGAAC